TCTATTACACAGAAAAGTCCTATATAAGGAACAATGGATCAGCCCTAAAAGCCCAAAACTAAAAGGCCAGTTATACAATACAATATATTTCAACAAAGGCAAAGAAACAACAACTGGCTATTGCAATATATGATGGGTGAATAAGAAATACCAATTCAGGGGGACGTGTCTAAAACCATAAAATTTCTGTAGTGAATTGAGCTAGCCTTCCGTATTCAGCTTCAGTACTTGCTTGAGCAACAACTTGTTGCTTTTTAGACCTCAAAGATATAAGATTTGTACCAAAATAGACTGTTGCACTAGAAGTAGATCATCTATCTGCACCCTAATCAGCATCACATAGGGCTTGTAGAGAAATGGAAGAACTTGGATACACCAGGATGTTGATATAGTCCATAGTGAAGAGAGTGACTTTGTTACGTACCTGAGTACGTAAACTAGCCAAATACAACCTATCACACTCTCTCACACGTAATAGAACAATAAACGAATAACAATGGACGAATGGATCTCTTTTATTGATGGTAATATCTGAATAAACAAGGGTAAACAATAATTGGGAGCATAACCTCCTTCAATTACTTTGAGAGCATAACCTCCCTCACAAGACAATAATGTCTGTCACAAAACTCAATAATAAAAAGCATGTCTTTAACCCTGGACTCTAACCTTATTTATATTAATTATTTCCCGCCCATCTCTTATTAAATATTCCTCTAGAATATATATGCATTTAATATAAATATCCTTATATTTAATATTTAATATAAATATCCCTATATTTAATATAAATATCTCTCCGTATATTATCCTAGCATATATCCTTAATTATAAATATCTTATATTGAATATTTCCCTAAATATATATTTATTTACTCTAATTAACTTATACTATATTTATTTACTCTAATTAACTTATAATAAATATTCTCTGCTCATATATTTTCCAACCCTTATTATTACTCCTACCTTAGATCGTAACAGACTTCACCATCGAGGATCGCCAAGCTCTGAAATCATGAAAATAATAAAGAAAGAAACTGAATTTTGTTATTTCGAAAGATTGAGATTAGGAGTGTGTATGTGTGTTTGTATATATTTAGGCATATACCATATCAAGCTAATGACAGTTCTATTCCACTTGTAATTAATCACTAACTAATCCTGAGAGTAGTTGAGTTACTCTCCTACTTATAATATTCACATGTGCGTTGAACTAATAGCATATCCTTTTGAAAAGTTGCTTCAACTATCAAAGGCTATTGACCAAGTGATCACAGTTTGATCAATCCACCCCGTTCTTTTAATAAAAAGTTGAATTTTAACTCAAGGTAGGTGCACCCATGCTTGTCCACTCTTCAAAGCCTAAAATACTTTTGTATGAGGTGAAGTGTTAGAAATGTCACATAGAAGGCTGTTCATGCACTTTCAACTAATAACTTAAGCTTTTCGACATTTAAGAAACTGAAAATACTAATTCTTGAGGTCAGATTAACTAGCAATAAAGTATTAACCCTCTATACCCATCTTGAATAAAAATTGGTAACTTAATGTAATTATGAAATCCCCTTGCCATGCTAGTACTATATCTCTTTCTTTTCCATTAAGTATGACTTATATTTTGTTTTCAGGTGGTAAAGAAGGTTCCAGTTCTTGCTGGTGTATGTGCAACTGATCCCTTCCGCAGAATGGATTACTTTCTTAGACAGGTGGAGTCAACTGGATTCTCTGGGGTACAAAACTTTCCTACAGTAGGGTTATTTGATGGGAATTTTCGACAAAATCTTGAAGAAACGGGAATGGGATATAGGTGGGTATTTGGAAAACAATTTCTCATATCATATTAGTTAGAGTGTTACATCTCTCCCAACTTTATTTCGTTTTCCTATTAAATTATCAGCTTGGAAGTTCAGATGATCCAGAAAGCCCATAAAATGGGTCACTTGACAACTCCATATGCATTCAATCAACATGAAGCTATTGAAATGGCTAAAGTCGGTGCTGATATTATAGTTGCCCATATGGGTCTAACTACAACAGGCTCCATAGGTGCAAAAACAGCTGTTTCTTCACTGCATCCTCTTCTCTTTAGAGTATAAAAGAAAACGGCTGAACAATACTTGTGTTCATGATTTCCAAAATTTTATATCAGTAAATCCTATAATGTTCACAAACTCTATGCAATGACAAAATAACAGCCACATTAGCAATATAATGAACAGAAAACTGACATGAAAAAAGTACAGACATGTTAAACCTTAATGAATAGAAATTGACTTGTACTCTTTAACTGTATTTGTAATAGCCTGCCTAAACCGGAGTCTTTCCGACTTTGAAGCCCATAAAACCCCATGGTACTCCTTTGGTTTCTCTTTATATATGAATTCCGCTTCCTTTGGACCAGATATTGGACCTGCATATTCCAAGAGATTATTCTGAGCTGGGACTATAAGTTGACAAACACAAACAAATACTCTATTAAGAACAGTGAACAGTGAATGTAGTGAAGTTCAATAACCACATCAAGAGCCGGCCTCTTTAGTAGCCAAAAGTTACTGGTAAAACATTCCCCTACAAACTAGAAATTAATCACACATGCAAGGCAAACAACACATAATTTATGGTCAATTTTGGGTATAAGGCTCACTCCCCCACCGGGGGGGACAAATTACCATCAACATACACCAATACATTTACTGGTCTCACTAATTTCGCACAAAGGCAGGGGGGGGGGGCCAAAAAACCACATACTCAGACACACTCTCTAAAAAACCATCCAAGACATGGATAAAATTTCTCACTGGCTGTCTGCATCATCACTGAAAACTTCTCGTGGCAGACATCAAACACTTTGAAAATTAAAACACATCTAAACTTCGATTCAATCTTTCTTGCTTACAGACAAAGCCTTTTCCATTCTATTCCTTTTTATCCTGAAACCCCCCTCCTTGACCGTAACAATCTTTTCTTCTTTGGTTTAACTTTTCACTCCTTTGGTTGTTACCGTACCCAAATTAAGCCAATAGAATTTTTTTCAATGAACATGAAATATGAAGATTCAATACATGTGCTCCAACATAAATATATGAAGAATGCTTTTCAGTTATCTGTTAATAAGCATTCTACACTTCTGGTCTAGGCCCAAATAATAATAATTGACCAGTGAACACTTAATTTAACATTTAATCTTCAAATAGTGCATCCATAAAACTTCAAATATACATTCATAAAACTTTTGAGCTGACTTGCATACCTCCATGGCACAACACGATGACATTGGGATTGATGCTGTGTGCTGCTTCTGCAATAGCTTGTACACGAATTACACTGTCATTCAGT